ATGGAGTTTCATTTGGTATAAAATTAGTTGTGTTAGCTATTTGAAATAATAGTGTTACTCCCTGGAATGATATTTTTACCAATCCTGTGTAGCGTGGCCCACCGGTGGGCCACATCGCCTCGAATGTGTTAAATAAATCAATTCAATAAATAAATACAAATTAAGTGAAACGATGGAATGAATAAATATAAATTAAAGAAGAACCAAAGCTAAATATTAAATAAGAATAAATAAAGTTATCTACAAAAACAAGATTCAATTCAATACCTAGAAAAAGAAAAGAAATTTCAATAATACATTCAATCAAATTAAAAAAAACTTCTTAGCTCCATCTATAAATACAATAGAATATATAAACAAAAGGAAAGAGAGGAATTTTTAAACAATGGCGAACAAATAAACAAAGTGCTTTTTTATTTTACAGAGCACCATCAGGGTATTTTATTTTTTCGAGCAAAGTGCAAAACACGGTACTTTTTCAAAATCGTAAGTACCCCGGGTACTTTGCTTTTGCTTGTGATACTTAATATTAAAAACACTGCACGATGCTCACGAAAAAAATGACAGAGGTAATCGTTCGTTTTTTTGAGATACTCATCCAAACAAAGATGTTGCTATAGAAAAGTGAGAAGCCAAGACCAGTTGAATGCATGGTTCTCAATCTTCTTCTGATACATATTTTTTAACGTTAGAATCTATCAAGTGTTCAGAAGTGATACTACAAAGATTGTGTGCAAAGATGAAAGGACAGTGATACATCAGCTAAAACTCTAAACAAAAATAAGCAAATGAAATGTGGAAGGTATACGCAAAGAAACATTGACGAAGCATCATCTTCGAGGTTATATTTCTTCTGGATTTTAACCATTTCAATTTTCCTAGAGGTCTCTAAATATTTCTTACATTCTTGTTGACTGCAGGTTTCAAGGATAATCTGTCCATCCATGTGAATCCCAGATACTTGAATTCTTTAATCAACCCTAATCGAACATCTTGTAAGCAAGATCTTGGCTAAGATACAAGGTATACAAAAAGTGAACCGATCTTCGCAATTTGGGTACAAGATAATTATATTATTTTGTACCATGATCTCTGGATATGAGATGCAGAAGACAAAAATATCTAAGTTCACATCTCACATATTTTGTTTTTTCTTTTATTGTTAACTTATCATTGTATGTTTGTTCTCTGTTATTTGTTTCCCACCCCACATCGGAGACGATAACGGTTTACAAATAAATAACAAAAAAAAGAACGATTCTTTGAGAGTCACCAGAAAGAAAGGTCAGATAAATAAATCTAGAGAGCAACTGTAACGAGAAAGGAAAGAAAAAATACATTTTGAGTCACTTATGACACACTCTGCTTATGTTATAACGTCAGCATTTCTTTCGTCACATTTCTCCTAATAATTTTACTTTCTTTTAGATTAAAATGGCGTCCAAACAGTCACAAGAATTGTGCAGCGAATGCGATGCAAATGCTACATGGTATTGCATTCAGGATGATGCTAACTTTTGTGATCAACATAATACTCTTGCACATTCGCTTAAGTCACAAAAGTTACACAAAATCGTCTCTATTGATGAAAAAGCAGTAGTTATCAGAAATCAAGCAGCTAAGCCAATGAATTGTAAAGCTCACCACATGCCACTTTGTTTATATTGTTTACTTTGCAAGGTAAGCAAATATACGCCAGTTTGAATAGATGAAGTATGGTTTGGTAATGAAAATAGTTCAAAATAGGTTAGGTTTCATAGATAAATAACGAAAATTTATTCAGACTTGACCAGAAGTTCTTACAACATTAAATTTAAAAATTAGACAATAATATTTTTGTATTTTATTTTTGTAAATGTTCAAAATAGTAGCCATGATTATATATGCTCAATTTAATCCTTTCTAACAATGTGTTATTTTCGAATCTATTCTCAAAAATAATCCGGATAATAATATAGTATTTTTTTTATTATGCAATAACTGTGATCCTAGGATCCTAACAGCCCCAGAAATAAGTGAGTGAGAAAACAAAAAAAATGAAATAAAAGTACACATGAGGTACAAAAACAAGGAAAGTTTCAACAGGTGGAAATACACAAGAAAGAAAAAAAGAATAATGAGAAAACCGCATCTAAAGTGGATACAGCGTACCAAGTAGAGAACAAACAATAGGGAACGGACACATATACATAACAGACCACACATGCACAACATTTAAACAAAAGTTAAAGCAGGCAAAGAGGACATAGATCACAGCTTTAACAAAAAGGATCGGGAAAGAGTTGAAGTAGCTCTATTTCTGACATTAAGACTTTTTCTAAAATTGATGTATAGAGGACGAATCTTTTAGATCTTCTCAAACCAGCGACGGAGAACTCCTGATCGAACCAACTTTTCCTAAATTTAACATGGTTAGCTTTTTCAAAAATTAAGTTTCCATCAATAGAATTAGATAAAGCTTTGAGATACCTATTCCAGTATATGGAGCAACGATCTTCCAAGGATATTTCATCAAGAATATATGAAAAAAAAATTTCATTCCATTCAAGGCAACATCGAGCACGACGAAGAGAGGAGTAATAAAACCTACAGAAGTCCTCCTGTTGTTTTCGAGTAAACAACGGATATACAGGATATAACCAGGTAAATAATAGAAGAACATGTGAATAGAACAGAGCTTTACGAATAATAAAATAGTATTGATCGAATGCATTATCAATTTTTCTTTAGTTCCAATAGAAATTTATCTGAAAGAATATTAGAACGAAACTCAGAATTGCATTATTATATATACAGGATATCCTAAAAGTCACCTAGCAAAATTGAATTCAAATATTTCTATCATGTTTTAACCAAATCAGCTATTTCTTTTTCCAGTGATAGAGAAAAAACTCATGTTTTTATTCGTATGAGAGAATTTCACACATTAAATTCAAAGCCATCTAATTTGGTGGAAATTGTGACACTCTGCATAATTCACTTAACCCTTTCACGACAGGATCCGTTTATATACGGGCTGAACTTCTCCATAGATTATTACTTTATAATTCCATTTTTTTGCCTATGGCATACAGTGATTCTCATTCTCTTATGTTGTTAGCTTGACCGCGTTATCACTTGGTATCACTTTGCACGTATATTAAGGGTGTGAGTGTCTAATACAGATCGTAATCTACACTTACACTCTTGTATCCTGCCAAAACCCTGTCACGAAAGGGTTAATATCGGTGAGAATACATTACTCCTTAAAATTTTATTTCTAGAAGGAACTATATCCAGGAATCCTGACATTTTTCATACATGCTACTTGAAGTAAGAGCTTTGCACAGTCTAAACTTCGGGTCTGAATTCGGTAAGAAAATTTTCTTGAACATCAGGGTGTAGGGTTTTGTCTGGGTCTGGGTAGATATACACGTATGGGTGAAATGAAGACTCACACACCTCTCATATATTCTCTCAGGTTTTATGGCAAGAGCCTCCATATAATTCACTTAACGTATGAACCTGAATGAGTACGATTACAGATGTCGTGTATACGAATATCATTGTTCTCCTTGTTACTATAGACAAAGTTCTAAGCTATGCACAAACCAACTTTCATACATAACTTGTCTAGTCAATAGTATTATATAGTACTAAGTTCATTAGTAATTTATTGGTTTGACTAATTGTTTTTTTTTGTAATGGACTATAATTTATATTCAATAACAAAAAGTGCTGCTTTGTTGTAGGATGTTTGTTGTGTTGCATGTCTATCGGTTGATATTCATAAGCAACATAGTGATCAAGTAAAATCAGTTGTTGATGTGGCAAGTGTAGAAAGAAAGAATTTGAATGAATATCTTGAGAAAATTCAAAAATTACAGACTGCATTTACGAATGAATTAAGTCAATTACAGCAAGCCCTTAAAAGTAAGCTTAAACACTGCATTATATGATTCTTGTTCTTGGTCGTATTTTTATTAGATATTGACATTAGTGAATCGACAAATAAACAAATGATCGACAACGAATTCGATCGAATTGTGAAATGTGTAGAAGCTAGACGAAAAGAATTGAGCAGACAATTACAAGAAAAGTCTCAAGTAAGATAACAAAGTAGAGGGGACGATAACTGACAAAATTGGCTCCCCCTTCAGACATATAATTTGTATCGTGTCAAACTTTCACTCAAGGTGTTACAAAGTGATACTGGTAGAATTAGACTTAAAAACAGCTTTTTGCCTTGTGCCCTGGCGCCTTGAAATAGTCAATGGCTGTCGTACGTATCCTATACATAGAGATTGAGAACGACCGGCTCTTTTTATCTATCGATTCGAAGATGGGCTAGACTAACATTCATATGGCTTGATAACGCTTTTCAACGGCTTCCCAATGCTGTAAAAATATGACGAAAAAAAGACTGTCCAATTTGATCTAACATGAAGCATATAGCCTGATATATCCTTATTTCCAGTATTATTCAGATTCTTCATGGAATTCATGTGCTAATGCTATCTAATATTATCACCGCCCGGCTAGGTCTTATAAGACTTGATAGTGCTACAAGAGTGCTACAAAATAATATTGAAATATTGTGGAAAAAACACTGACCACAAAAAGAAGTCCTAGGTAGACGTTTGAAAACATGATTTTCATGATTTTTTGCGTGATATTGAGTAGAATTTGATAAAAACTAACATGAGATTCTGAATCAGCATTCAAAATTAAGTGAACTAACGTTTAGTTCAAAAATGTTTGCAACTTTCTTTTCTTTCGAAAATTCACTCTCGCTTCTACTCGCGATCGAGTCAAAAAATGAGTTTTATCGAAAAGATATTTTAATAGTGGAAATCAAATCATCAGGTTATAAAACCTAGTAGTAGATGAATGAAGAATACTAGCAGAGCTTTCGATGAAATTCATTTTTTGACTCAACCCTGAGAAGCACCAGACTGAAGTTTTTGACGAACAAAAAGCATTGTGAAACTTTTGCAATTTACGTAAGTTCACTTAGTTTTGATTGGTGACTCAGAACATCATGTTAGATTTTACCCAAACTCTATTTTTCTAATTGGAGTCTACTAAATATCAGAAGAAACAATCATAAAATCATGTCTGTAGTATAGTCTTCTTGGGACTGTTCTGTATGGTCATCGTTTTTCCTTCAATGTTTTTATATCATTTTGAGCACTCAAAAAGTATTCTCGAACTATATGAAAATAGCCTGGTTGCTCACGAGATGAATAGATACAAACAGTTGATTATGAGAAACACTCGATTTTAATGCATATATGACGATCATTGTCTATTATAATCAACTCGTACACAACACAAATAAGTGCCATACGACTAATTCTACGAGGACTCACTTTCTGACACCTTGTGTAATAATTTCACATTGAAGAAATTAAATTTCTCGAGACCGTCATTTTCAACAGTTATCGATGTCTTCCTTTAATCACAGTTTGAAGATTCGTTCAATTTTTTTAGACATGTCGCGATCATATTTATTCCAAACAAGAGGATCTTGAGAATATCAATGCAAGCTTAAATAAATGTTCAGAGGAAGGAAGACACGCATTATCACTTGATGATTTTGCTGCGTTGTCTCAATCCAAAGTTATTATGGATAAAATGAAAAAACTTGAAACCGAAAGTGTTGAATACCATTCTCAAGTTCATTTGACTGACGCGATTCCATTTCGTATCTCAATTCAAACTCTTCTCAAAATTATAGATACTACAGGAATCTTAGGAGAAATACGTGAGTCTTTGTATTTCTCTAAATATATAAGAAATAAGATCGACTTTTTATTATAGCTGCACCGTCGTTTATTCAACAGAAGTGTAAAGCTAGTAGTAATAGTCTTGAAGTTGAATGGGAACCTATTCAATTCGACTCGTCTATAATTGCTTACGTTTTGGAACTTGAACAAGCCGATACTAATTTCAATGAAGTAAGCATTCGTTACTTTTCATAGGAAATCAATTTGAATCTATTGAGACAATCTTATTTTCCGCAATAGATAGACCATAACTACTTATGTCAAATTTCTAAAGTTTTTTGTTTAAAGATCACTTGAAATATATAGATCGTCAATGCTTTCCGAAATGAAGATTGACATATATTAGGGAGCTGTGAATCGCTCCACACTTGGATCCATCTGCGTCAGAGTTGAGCAGTAAGCCGAAGAATTGATTTATCTACTAGAGTGTTACATTCTCTTGTTACAAAGGTAATTTGAGGCAAAGAGATAAAATAGATAAATGAAAGTGTGCGATAACTAGCCAAAGTAAGTAAGCTGTTTCTATAGATTTTGTAATTAAATATCAATGTATTTCACTTGATACCTTCATTGTCAGTCAATTTGGTCAGCATTCATCTTTTTCTACGTAGTTTAAGC